AATAAAGGAGGCTTATCATTTAGTCTAGTGCATGCGCATATTTTCCTCCGAATTTAAAAAAAGGGTTTCCTTATCATGCATACTTGACTATTGGGCATATTTGACTACTACAGTGGAAAGACAACCAAAAATGGTATATGAATAACTAATGCATAAATGCTTTTGATTTATCGTTTAGCACGAAATGACCGTCATAAAAAGTTAACTGATGCCTATTCTGTGCCTCAGTTAACTTTGCATATGTGCGCTTATAGGAGCAGTATCTATGCTGTGATTAATGAGGATGATCCTGCATTGCAGTTGTGCTTTACACTTTATTGCCGGCTGGGAAAATCATGTACATCACTGCTTTGTGTATGCTGAATATCTCTGTAGTAGTTTTTTTTTTTTTTTTAAATATACAAATATATCTGCTGTTGATTGCTCCTTCATATTGGTGTCTTGATAACTTGTCCTGATCTTATTATCTTAATAGATTCCATTGTTTGCCTGTGGCAGGGATGTTTCCAAGATCTTTTAAATAGGCGGGCACAGAGAGGGTAAAAAACAAAGGCGGTGTCGCCCATTGGAAATCTATTATTTGAAAAGAAATAAATAAATAGAGTGGAGAGAACACTGGGCATGATTTTCAGGCTCATGTGAATCCCTCTGCCCTCATAAAAATGGAATCTTATTATATTTTTATTATGAGCATTTATTTAACCAATGATGGAAATTAATGAGATTAACAGCAAACCTGTGCAATGACAGGGAGAAGATGTAAACACCGCACAAAAGAGTCCTGCCAGGTGTTTAGTAGCACTAACCACTGAGCCTCTTTGCTGAGGAAAAGTGGCACTACACAAGATCCTGATAATTGTTTTCTACTAAGTAACTATTCTGAAAAGAGGTAAAAGAAAATTTTAGACCCCGTATAATATAGTTATAATCCTACCCTTATGGGTTGATCATCTGGCTCCATCTAATCCTGTCCCTTGCATCCTCCTCTGTCACCTTTGCATGTCTTCCCTCACTACATTTACTTGTCACTCACTACATCACTTGTCCAGCATATCTGCCCCTCCTCTGCACATGTCCAAACCATCTCAACCTTGTCCCTTTAACTTTGTCTAGAGTCTCCCAATGAAATATGAGCATCTTCAACTCTGCAACCTTCAGCTCTGCCTCCTGTCTTTTTGTCAGGACCAACATCTCCTAACCATACATCATAGCAGATCTCACTAACATATTCTAAACCTGCCGTTTTACTCTTGCTGCTATCCTTCTGAGTGAAAGATAATAAGGAACTAAATCTTTATAATAAATGGTGTGGAGTAAAAAGTTCAGTATTTCATAACTAAATATTTTTGGAGTAATGGTAAAAACAAACAAACAAACAAACAATGTAAAAAGTTACAAAATAATGTATTTTATACACTGCCCATGTTTAATATAAATAAAAGCGTAGAGAAAGTAAAGTGGAGAGGGTAAACAATATCCTTGTTTTTCCTCTTTTTTTTCTTGAACGCAGCATTTTATAGAAACACAAAAGCGGAAATATCTGTAAACAGGAGTCATTTTTGTAAGGTTTCTTCGCTTCAATTCAGAGGAGGAAGGAGAAAAGTATTTGCCCCGCCCTTTCCGGGTACAGCAGCCAATGGCAGCGTAGCTTCCTACTGTACTTCTTAGCTGCTAAAGCATGGCGGTCAAAAACAACGCGTGGAAGTCACAGTAATCAACAACATAGCAATCCGTTGCATTATATTAATTTTCAAGAGTAACAACAGCAATGCTCGTTGGATAGGACGTTAGCTCTCTGATGCAGGTAGCTGTTAACATCGGTACGGAGGATAAACACTTTTCTCCAGAAAAGTCTGAGCAAACTTAAAACTGGTGGGTAAGTCAGAAGAAAACAGACCGTTTTTTTGTTGCTTTTGTGGAAAAATGTTCATTTCTTGATATCTTAAAACTTAAAGTTGTAGTTTTTCGCTGGCCTCTAAATAAGCCGTTGTGAAGAAAGCTAGTGAGTTAGCATCAAATACAGGTGCAAAGAATAGCTCTGCACTAACAAGACTGTAATAACACTGGTATATCCCATGTGTAGATGTCCAAAGTTTTATCAATTGCACATTGCCAACTCTAGTATAAAGCGACCAATTATATTATGAACGTTTTTGAAGCGGTCTTGCTCTAATACACATCACTGAACTATTGGCAAGCACACCTGTTTAAATGTGCAAATATTTCAGCCTCTACTAAGTATTGAATACTTTTATTTTGTCGGTTACCTTCTCAGGAAGTGTAGTACACAGACACAAGTAAAGTCCTAAAGTGAGTGTTTTTGTCTTTAAAACAGCAGTAATGCTTCTATGTTCTCATACCCAACGTTTTTAAGCTACTGGGTACGTTGTTCCAAACATTTCTATAGTGGATTCAAGCTGCCTGATTTGATCTTGTGTCTGTATGCAAGCCCAGATTGACTGTTTTTTCTTTTTCTTTCAAAAATGACTCTGGCAATATACAGTGCTTAACAAATTTATTAGGGTTTATGCCACAGCCACCCTAAATTATATTTATTTTCTGATTAAGATGTCAAATTACAGTTATTTACTACTTCTGTTTGCTCCCTAACCAGAAGAAAATAGCTCAGCTCAACTTTGGGTATACAAAGTGAATTCAGTTTGTTATTTGACTAATAAATAACAAATGTACTTTTTAGTTTAAACAAGTTTTTGATAATTTCTAACATTTTTTTTTACAACATAAATTAATTAAGCACTGCATGTTTGGAGTAATTATCATGTTGCACAATAAATTTGGGAGCCATCAGATACCTTTCTGTATGTGGATGAGAATCCAAAGTATCTAAGATCTTTGCATGATACGGTTTGGTTTAGCGTTGTGGGGGCAAAATACTAACCCCAAGTTGCTCTCCGGTGCATCCATCAGAGTATGAATGCGTGTGAAGTTTAGATAGAAAGCACTTACAGGGAAAGACCATAGAAAAAGTGTTTGTGTGAATGGGTGAATGAGGCAAGTTGTGTAAAGCATTTTGAGTGCTCAGATAGAGTAGTAGTGCTATGTAAGAACCAGTTCATTTACCATTTTGATAGACAATTTTTAGTGCAGTAGCACTGTGGTGTAATTGGAATTTGTTGTCATGCATATCTTTAAATAAGTTTTCATGAAACAGTGACACTAATGGTGCCTGTTTTTGATTGCTTTGTTTTATATAATAATACGTACCTTTTAAAAAGGAAGAAAAATACATTTATGTATTTGTTACTAATTTTCTTCTTGCAGATGAGCCGGTTAAAGTATCCTGACTGAGTCTAACTGCTGTGCTGATTATGGATGACTTAGAAAGAGAGCTGGAGCCTCACATTGACTTAGAGAATGACTCTGACTCCTCAGAGGATAACTCTTCAAAAGGAGAGAAGAAATCAAAGTTCCCTCTGGTTAAACCCATTTATGGAGGTGGGTTGTACAGAATTTCCATAAATAAATTTTTCTGTTAGACAGCAGAGGACATATTAGATGCAAGACGTATTGCTCACTGATCAATGTATGGTACACTGTTTGCTGGCTTCTGCATAGTCCTGGATTTTACATTATAGAAAAGTTTTGTCAGAGGTAATTAAGAAGTAATTTCTTCACTTTAATGTGAAATAAAAATGTTTTATTTCTTTATTAAGACAAATTTATATTTGTATCAAAAATGTTTCTATCAGCCTCACAAATCCAATGTTGTCTGAGGTTTGGAACTCATACCTTTCATCTTCAGATCAGACTCAACAGAATGGGTTTCGCCGGACCACCAGCATGTGTCGGGAGCGCATCAGAGAAGCCATGCTGCACCACAGATGGGAGGAGGCAGCAGAATATATGGTGTACTACCCCCAAATTTTAGAGGACAGAAATCTTTTCACAGCGCAGCCATCTAAGGAGGTAGATTTTAGAATTCCTTTGGTCATATATCCATTCATATGGACGTATGAGCCACATAATTGCACACAGTTGTACACCACAGCATGAATGATTTCTCTCCGAGGCTGTAAAAGAGGAATTACTTCCATAAAGGCCCTAAACTTAATAGTTTTACAGTTGTTTAGTCAAAGTGCAGGAGTACAAGATGTAGAATTAATGAAGACTTGTTTAAACACTCAGCTTTAAACATTGCATTCATTTTCATCCTTGACGTTAATGCTCTCTTTGAAATTTCAGTTTATTTGGAGAACTGCCACTGAGATCTTTCACCATCATCCCAACTCAACAATGGAAGATTACAACACCATCTATGAGCGAATGAAGCATTCGGGATTTAGACATTACCTAATGGTACTTCAACTAATAAAAGTGGCCGCAGTGCAGTTTTCATGTGAATCTGCATTTTTTTTTTTTTCTTATGAGGCGTTGTCATTTTGTGTTTCTAGATTTCTCTGGAACATTCCTTCCACCTCCTGCTCCACCAGCAGATTGAAGATGCAAAGCGGCATCTTGCTAGCGCTGAGAGTTGGAGGCACGGGAAAGAGACAGCAGCTCAGATTCAGAATATTAAACTGATCCAGGCGTACAGGGGCCTGCTGGATTATATCATCTGGTGTGACAAAAAGTCCACACGCTCCAACAGCGGTAAGGCAACACGCAGCATAACAGCCCAGAACATGCATTATTTAGGTTTCTCAGTAAGAGGCGTGTAGGGGGCTCGTTTGAAGTCACACTGCCACCTACATGTCAGACATGGGAACTGCGTGTTTGACAGAGCAATTCAAATTCATTATGTTGGGGAAAAATGTGTTTGTGTGTGAAAACCTGTATGTCTGGGCTCACATCTTTGATGTTTGGTGCTCTCTTTTTCAGATTATTATGAATCTGATTCCAATCAAACCATGCAAAACTACTTCAGGCAAGCGTCAGTGAATCTTGAGGAGATTTTGAAAAATCCAGGCGTCTGGGATTGTTTCATACTGAGATATGTTGAGGTAAATACTCCTTCCTTCCTTTGTTTCCTTCATCCGTTCATTTTTTTTCCTGCTTATCCAATTCAGGATCACAGGGGCGCTGAAGCATATCATATTGTATTTATGACTGTGTTTTTGTTACCTCTCTTGTGAAGCACTTTGTGACATCTGTCTGTGAAAAGTGCTATATAAATAACCTTTTACTTACTTACTGAAGACGCTTCTCGGATGAGAGGTGAAACATCTTCAAGCAACTTAAAGAAGTCCAGACGCTTTTCTTTCCAAGCTCCTTAGACTACGATGACCTGGATGACTGAGAACCTCCACAGACATACTTACTTACTAATCACACTGTGAAATACTAGAGCTTATGGATGCTACCAGCATCCATGGTTGACCAGCTTTGCGTTTTCCTACAAAATAAGCTGTAAGGCATTCTCTGGTGGACGTTAGGTGGACTCTGACATGCTAACATAACATCCATAACAAGATGGATCAAGGACATTGTGGGGAAATCTGGAGCTACAGTTGAAAAACAAAGCTGACAGTTTTGACTTTTTTCTCCTTGGCTCTGGACCAGAGCTTTGATATTAGTGACATAGCCCAGTTAGTTCTCTTTACATGGGATAAAAAAGAGTTTAAGATTACGAAGGAGCTGGCAGCAGCGCACTCAGTGAAACCAGGGCGAGATTTGTTCACTGACGTAACCACATGGTTGGATAGACAATCAATAGGTCTCCAAACCTGAGAGGAAAAATGTTGGTATTCTGAAGTGGATACAAGATAAAGTGTTTGAAATACACCTGTGAGTGGAATTGGTACTTTTCCATTGTGTTGTACAGCAGGAAGCATTTTATAATTCAGTGCTAAAAATTAACAATGTTGTAACTAAAATAGTTAAAACGTAGTCAGGGAAAGAGCACTGAACCAGAGACCGTTTGTTGCATATTTGGAGGAACAGTAGACTGTGGTGCGAGACTACCACTTGGTTGTCAGGTGGCTCAGCCTGGGCAAAGTGCTAAAGTTCAGGACCTGACAGCAGAAATTAAAGAGTTTTGTAAAAAGAAAAGAAAGGAAATGGACGGCAGATCTAACATTTGCTGTTGACGTGACTGTACTTTGTATTTTAACCTCATACACTGAATCTGTCTTTAATTCACTTGTTCAAAGTCATAACAGACTAGATTTCCTCTCCCTGAAAGAGAAAAAAGAACTGAAAAATTGCAGATGAATAATTAAACGACAAGCACAACATCAGTGGCACCTTGTATAAAGTTGAAAGTCTTTGAAATGTTGCATAGAAATGTGCATTTTGTTTACAGATGTTTTTTTTAGTAATGTTGCTTAAACGTTAATAAAACGTTGGTGTTTTTCATGACTTAATTCTATCCTCTGCTTTTATCAGTAGCAGTTGATAAAGAGATCAAATTAATGCAGTAACACATAGCCTCTTTCTGTTTGTCACATGTTGCCCTGTTTATAGGTTTGTTGTTGTTTAGCGTAAGGAAAATATTAGTACTGATTACATGACTGTTGTTTTATTTTTTTGGCAGATGCTCGAGTTTTATGAGCATCATAAGGAGGCTCTGCAAGTCCTGAATGACTATGCGTATGACAGCAATTTCCCACCCAATCCCAATGCGCATGTCTACCTCTACCAGTATTTAAAGCGACAAGGTGCTTCGGAGAAGAGACTGATGAAAGTGTTGAAGGTAAAGCTGCGTATGAAACTCACTGTAATTAATTACTATTTCAATCAGTGCTTTAAAGATGTCTCAAAAATGGAATTTAAATTGGAATCTAGGTGTTCAAATGGTATTAATGATTACTATTTGATAGTTTGTGTATTGAGGGAAAACTGGAGTGATCCCTGTTAAACTTCACACTGAATAAGGTTTTAAATTAGCTGTTATTAGATTTAAAGCTATGTGGACAAAAATGAAAAGACACACTGTATCCAGTTCAGTTTCAAAAGCTTAAAATGTCCATTTGTTTTGCTGTAGGTCCTCCATGCATTGGTCCCCAGCCATGAGTTGATGCTGGAGTATAGCTCTCTCCTGCTTCAGTCAGGTAAAAGGGAATTAAATATGGATTTAAATGTCTATCATTGGCCAAATAAAGTTCAGTCTTGCTGCAAAATTGATGATAAGCAGAATTAAAATCTGTAAAGTAAATGTATAGAAAAGTTATTTACAGCTAGCTGTTCGGTTTTGACAGTACTAAATGGGTAATGTTAGTTCCTTTGTTTGATTTCTCCAAGGTTGGAGTTGTGTCTCTAAATCATACTTTTTCTCATGTAATAAAAAAATATATGATTTTTGCTCTTTAAGAGAAACAAAGTGACACCCAGAAAGCTTTGGGAGTTGTCCTGGAAATGCTGGACTTCAATTGCTGGGGGAGCAACCTGGAAGTGTGGATCCGTTTAAAGGCAGTGATCCAAAAGCTTCAAAATCAGTATGTGTGGGTTTTTAAGTTATATTTTTAATTCAGCTTGAAACAGATCATACTTTATTATTGTTTCTTACTGTTGCGTAATGTTAACAGAGTAGACTGGGAGAACATTGTCTGTGAAAAGATGGCTGAAAGAAAAGACTGGTGGCTTGCGCTGCACTTCACGAGCTTCCATGCCACGAAAGACTCAAAGGAGAAGCCCGAGCTTTTTGAAGTGAAAGCTTCGCTGACAAAAATCCTTTGCCCAGGTTGGTTTGTGTTCATTTTAGTGGAATTAATTCTGAAAATGATGTCTTGACATAGATCTCATGACTAATTAGTCATTTTTATGATTTAATCACAATTTTTAAAGGAAAAATGAAAAAAGCAATCTTGCTCAGTTTTCTAAAATGTTAATATTTTCCGCTTTTGTTAGTTTACTGCGATAGTGATTTAAATAGTTTACAGTTTTGGATTGCCAGGTAGTTGTGCGCATAATTACTGGCAAATGTTGAGTATAATAGCAACAAAAAATGACAACAAATAAATGTTTTGGTGCAAAATGAGATTATCAAGCATGCCGACACTGTCACTATAATCTGCTTTAAATGTTGCAATAGGACAAAGTCAGTGTACTATCACTCTGCTATCCCCCCTTCTGCTCAATAAAATGCTTTATATTATGTAAAACAGCAGCAACTTTGTCATGTGCTAAAAGCTCACAGTAAAAGCTGTACATTTACTCTCTGTCTTCTTGTATTTTGTGTATTTTCTTTTCACAGACCGACCACTGAAGTATAGCGTGAATGGCTCACAGGTGAAGGGCAAAGCTGAGACAAAGAAAAGAAAAGGAAGAAGATATTAAAGCTCCATTTTGTTAAATGTTAACTAAAGGTCCTCCAGCAGATTGTGACGTTCCCAAAATCGTGAGCAAATTGTGCCTAGATTTACTTTCTCCACTGTGTGGAGCTCTTGTTCTGCATTTTCGCACTGGGTATCTGGAGGGTATGATCACCTAATTTTGAAAAGTGTACCTCTGACTCTTAGTGTTCGTCCGATTTATGGTTTCTATGAACATTGTTTTATACTGACCTCAGCAAACCTTTGAGTGTTAAATTCATAAGCATTAGTAGTGTATGTATGTCGCACAGAGCTCAGAGGAGTTTCTCTCTGACAGCTTTGTTGACGTGTCAGAAGACCCATCATCACAAACCTTTGAGCAGCGTGTTGTGAGGACGTTTAAGGAAGACAGACTCGCTGGCAGGTGGTTGCTGCTACACTCTTCCGTTTTTTAGTCGTTTAATGCAAAAGTGTGTTGACTTTGCTTATAATTGACTTGTGTTTATATTTACACCCATACAACGAATTCATCCATGTCAACCTTTTCATATCAAAAGGCTCCACTTAAACTCACCCACTTAGTGCTTCATTTTTTCTATTCTCTGTCTATAAAGATAAATACTTCTGTTCCTATGAATCTAGTATCAGGGCATGTTTCTGGCCTTCAAATCCTGGCGTTGCTCTTGACTCCTTTGCACTGAACCATGAAATAAACTCTTGCATTCAGCAGCATGCCAATTTAATAAGTGAAAGTGTTTGTAATGATTCTGTTTCGGCTTGCCACAGCGTTGGCCATGCAGCAGCTCAGTCAGCCGTACTGTATATGTGTGTTGCTTTGCAGTCATTACATAAACCAGAGCCCAAAGCACTTGCCTAACCACAGGAGCAGCTGCACAACGGATCTGGGAATACGTAAGACATGTTGTTTGAAAATTCAAAACTCGGGCAGTAGCAAGGAGAATCAAGTCAGTAAACGGTCACTTCTTTGGTCTCTGTCCTGTTTGTGACCTCTTTAAAGCTTTTTTCCCCCAGTGTTTTTCAAATTTTTTTTAATCTACGCAGATGTTCACAGCTGAAGCAGTCATTTTTCTGCCTTGGAGATGCTCTGTAGGGACTTTGGTTGAAGGTTAAAAGGGCAGTTTTCTTTTTTTTTTTTGTCCAGGGATTGAATTGTTCCCCGACAAATCATTTTTCTCATCTGTTCTCATGCACCTGGTCTCTTCTGACTTTAATTTCTCCTTAAATCTTAGCAGCTGGAGCAGTCCCAACTTAGAGATCATCTAGAGTAACAAACAGAAAGCATCCTTATGACCAATTCATAAGCAGCTGCGAGAGTGAGGCGGGTTGTCCCGACTGTTCAAAACACTGTTATTAAAACCTGCAGCTTTGCTCCCTGCACTGTCTCTGTGTGCTTTGCCAAGACAGGAAGCTCAGTACAGATAAAACCATCATCAAAATATTGTCATTTTATTGTGACGTGTTACACCAGCATATAAACAGTGTGGATGATTATTTTATGGATGAAGTATCCAAGAGGAAATTCCTGTTTAAGGCTAAATCAACCACTTAAATCCCACACCCGGTACTTTGAGGTGCTTAATAAGGATGCACTGGCCTAGTACTGATATACAAAATAATAATTTGGCTGATCCAATGCAATTTATTTTATTTTCTTATATTATGTATTCCTCTCCCCCCTGGAAAAAAGTCAATGTTTATTATAATAATAACTGAATTTAAAACTCTCCATGCCCTATTCTTTTTTTTTTTTTTTTAACATTTACCTAAAACAATTTATGTAACCACAACATTTCCACCACCTTCAGTAAATGGCATATTTACTGATATTTACTTATTTTACAGTAACTTAAACACAAGCGTCTGAAGCATTTTTACAAGGGAAAATATTCAATTACAATTTCAAAGTTTTTTTTAACACGTTCTCACATTTTATTCTAGAAGCTTGTACATTTTGCAACATTTTTTACCATCATAAATAAAGCTGATATCGATGTTCAGATGCTATACCCATAAATATGTAGTTCTTGCAAAACATCACATGTTTCCAAGAATGCAGTCCTAATTATCCAGTGTGATGAATATGCAGGGTGATGAGGTCAAGGCGCCGAGTAGCTCTAGACTGAGATTTCTAATACAGTGAAGTGGTTGTACCAGGTGGCTGATTTCTGTCTTTACTTGTAATCAGGCCTGAAAACAAACACACTGATTATTATTCTTTGAAACGCTGGAGGGGAGTTCATGCTCTTTTCCAACTTATTTTCCCAGTCATTTCAACAAAATTTGAATGATCCTTCAAGCAACAGTAGATACATTAATGTTAAACAGTCTGAAATATCACAGAATTATGCTCGCTGATCACTAGATATTTGGACATTTTCTGGTATAAATCCGTTCAGCCAGTCGTAGCTTTAAAAACAAATTACTTCACAATTTTGTTGAACAGTATTTGTTTCTAGCTCAGCCTAATTTCAAGCAATCACCAATTCACCTTCATCCACTGAGCAATGTTCTGTTGATTGGAGGCCAAACAGACATCTAAATGGTACAGACACTCAGCTGTGTACAAAATGCAACTTGAACATTCATTATTTTTTTTGTGGGGAATTTCAAAATGATAATTAATAGGGAAGTAATGCAACTGGATTAGCAACGATGTGACATGTGAGTACTTAGAAGCCTCTCAGCAGTGCTCTGACTAACCTGCAGAGGTTCCAAGGAAGCTTTGTTAACAATGAATTACAGTAACCCCAATGTGATGAAATAAAAGCATGAAAAACAATTTCTAGATCAGAGCATGGCAATGGCAATATTCCTTAAATGATAAAAAATAAGCAAACCAGAGGTTTTAATGTGAGTATCCTAAGTGAAAACTGAGTTAAAAGTTACCTGTAGGTTCCTGATAGAAGATATAGCAAAAGTGGCAAAGGAACCTGGAGTTTCCAATACCAAATCTGTGAGAGACACAAACAAGGAGATCTATTTTTTCTTAAGTTGTAAAAAAATTTTATCCATCAAACTTTTAAGTGTCTAAGCACCTTTGCAAGATCCGAAGCTCAGAAATATCCATCCACTGTCTTCCACACATTCTCAGGGTTGTGGGGGAGCTGGTGCCTATCCCAGCTATCATAGGGTGGCTGCTTAGAAATATCTTAAAACTAAACGGAATATGTTGAAACTGAATGTCGCCTGCTTAGCAGTGCATAGCTACGGAAGCGTAGAGCTGCCACCCAGGCAAAAGAAAAATACAAGTGTATCACGTTATAACGTGAAAAGTTTATTGTTCTAACAAGATACTTTTCCTGTTTGTACAATATACTATCATGTTTGAACAACATAATATCACGTTCGTACAATATAATTATCACGTTCGTACAATATAATTATCACGTTCGTACAATATAATTATCACGTTCGTACAATATAAATATATTGTACGAACGTGATAATTATGTATATTGTAATAACGTGATATTATGTTGTTCAAATGTGAAAAGTATATTGTACAAACATGATAGTATATTGTACAAACAGGAAAAGTATCTTGTTAGAACAATAAACTTTTCACGTTATAATGTGATACACTTGTATTTTTCTTTTGCCTGGGTGGCAGCTCTACGCTTCCGTACATAGCAGTTCTTAAAAATGTCCAAAATGTCCTGAAGAGGGAGCAGATATAAACAGCAGAAAAAGTAGAGGCCCTAGAACAGAACCTTGTGGAACACCATAGGCAAGCGGATGAAGACTTGAACTTACAAGCAGCAATAGAAAAGTAACAAAGTTTTTTATGGGTAAGATTTTCCAATACTGGTGTTAATGTAGACTTCAGCTTTATTTAACCCAAATAACATCATGTAAACCAGTGTTAATTTCGTTGACTAATAATTTTTGTCATATTTTTCATTAATTGCTTTTTCTTTTTTTTCAGTGAAAACAAGATGATAACTAAATAAAAATGAATGCATGAGTACAAAAACTTTGATGAAAGGTACTGACACTTTTGTCAACTAATAAAAATTAAATGAAAACATTCTGGAGAGACGATCCAATCAGAACCAATTAGGTTGTCTAGAAAGGCGGCACAAGCTCGGAAGTCCTCCAGTCAATCGCAATCTGTCTGCGGTAAGGTTAGACACACACAGTTTGATCTGGGTGGGAGGGTTCTGCTAACACGCTTGCTCCCTGTTTCTCATGAAAAATACAACAAAATGTCAGTGCTTGGGAAGAAGGCAAGAGCAGACACATGGACACATTTCACATTTGATATCAAGGAAAATGAAATGCTTTCGAAATCATATGGAGCAATTCACACTGGTAAAACCACGACAAACTTTAACACTTTATATTTTATTCAACTGAATCAACTTTAGATTTAGTCTACTATAATCTTATGATATTTAGTCGATTGAAACTAAAAGAAAACTAAATGATGTTCTAGTCAAAAGACTATGACTGCAACTAAATCAAAAAATTTGCAATCAAAGTTAACGTTGATGTAAACACAATCATTCAGTACACGTTGGTTTAGTGGCCGTTGATGTAAATGAAATCACATTTGAAGAATAATGGTAGGTGGAGGAAGTAAGTATAGAGCTACTGGCCGTTGAGCAGCTCCACCAGTTCTACCAGCTCCACCAGTTCTCAGCCTACATGAAACAATGATGTATGTTCATCTGGGAGTGCACTCTAAGGCTGCTGCAACAAATGGTACTGTAAAATCTATCAGGTAAAATAAAATTAAAAAAAAATCCTGTCTCCATAGGTTCTTCTGATGACTCTAACAGACCCATTAAAACCTTGTTTAGCCCTGAGAGAAATTTAGTGACGTCTTTGGCCTAACCCCACTGTGAACTGACAAGCATAATAACTGTTTGTGTAATTAATCATCCACGCAGGTTGCAGGCTGAATCTATTTGCTTCTGGGACAAATACACACAAACGGCGCTCAGAGAGATGTTTTAATTTTGTGCTTGACATCTAAAGGCCTTGGATGGTTCTTTGCTGTGTGTGGCTGACATTGAGTTTTCCCA